TTGCCTGAGCCCGCGGGTTCGAGACCCACCTGGGCAGGTGAGACCTCATCTCTATAATAAAATTAAAAAATCAGCCGGGTGTGGTAGTGCGCGCCTGTAATTCCGGCTACTCGGAATGCTGAGGTGGAAGGATCGCCGGAGCCCAGCAGGTCGAGGCTGTGGTGGCCGGGAGCGGCCACTGCACTCCAGTCTGGGCGACAGAGTGAGACTCCAACTCAAAAAAAAAAAAAAAGAAAGAAAGAAAAAGAAAAATCTGAGAATATACTTTCATATGAAAAGTTCATAAAATTTTTAGACAATATAAAATTATATTTTATATACTAATATAATCTTTTAAGCTTTATAGATTCAACAATTTGGGATAGCATCTATTTTTTCATGTAACCTAATATTATCAGTAGACAAGGTTGAATTGTCTTCTGATAAAGAACCAATGTTTTTTTTTCTCTACTTTCCATTTGGTGCAGAACACTAAAATTTAGAAGACCTATTGTATATAGTTCTTACAGAATTTTAAACATGGATTCTTGATTTAATAAAAGCTGGTTAGGAAATGTCAAATTTCAGTCTAATTTTTTTCTCTGAATGTGCTTGTAAGATAATGTTTTATATGTAAATTATATATTTGAGGACTTATTTAAAACTTCTGTTTTATGAATAGCAAATCACTTGCTTTTATATTTATATATTTCATAGAAAGAAAACAGTTTTCATTTTCTCAGCTAATATCCTATAAACTGTTTTAGTTATTGATACCCCTAAGATATTAAGTCCTTAGCTCTTAAGATATTTTCTAATTTAAAATTAATTATTTGAGGTCTGTTCATCTGACCTATTTCCTAAATAATCGATATTCAGTAAATATTTTAAAATAATAGAGTGAGAAGTGAACTGATACATGCAGAATGTTGAAGAGTAATCTCTTTTCTTACAGGCAGAACTTCTAGACGCAGCTGCTGGCATTCATGTGCGATTCCGATTAGGTGGAGTAAGTAGAGATGAATTCTTACTTAGTAGCCTATAAACACATTTACATGACATTTTAAAGCTGTAATTTTTAAAATGTAAACCACTTCTGTAATTGTATTACAACAGCCCTTTGAACTTTTTCCATCTACAGGTTAAGTTTCCACCTGATATATACTATAAGATTTTTACACACAGACATGTTGAAGATCTGTGTGCTAACAGCCCTAGAGATTATACAAAACTTCCAGCAAAACATACAGCTCATAATAAAAGTGATCGTCTTCAGGAAGAGGATCACAGTGGCTGGTATCGTCGTATAGAAAACAATGGCTGGAGGCTTGTTTCTAATAGAGTAAGAAAAGAGAAAGTTTAATAATTTTTTGTCTTTTATCTGTAGAAACCATTTATCTTTTTAAAAATTAATTTTAAGATTATTTTTTAAAATAATCCTAATAATTTAATCGCTACAATTTGCTTAAGTTAACTACTCTAGGGTTACTGATAATACAACGTACAGCAATTTATCTTTTTCTTCTTGTATTTACTTCTACTTTTAATCGCTTCAAGCTAGGCCATCTTTAGATACTTTCTGATATTCAGCCGATTAGGTACTCAGTATATGATTATAGGATGTGGCATGCTGAATATACTAAGTTTGAAAAGTGAAAATGGTCAAGGTGTGAATTCATTCATTCATTCAACAACTTTATTGTATATCAGTCATATGGCAGGCATTGTTCTAGATGCTGGGGACACAATAGTTAAAAAGATAGACTCAGCCAGGCATGGAGGCTCATGTTTATAATCCCAGAGCTTTGGAAGGGCAAGGTGGGAGGATCACTTGAGGCCATGAGTTGTACACCAGCCTGGGCAACACCACAAGATCCCATCCATACAAAAATAAAATAAAAAATTAGCTAGGTGTGGTGGCATACGTCTGTAGTCCTACCTACTTGGGAAGCTGAGGTGAGAGGATTGCTTGAGCCCAGAAGTTTAAGGCCGCAGTGAGCTATGATTGCGCCACTGCACTCCAGCTTGTGTGACAGAGTGAGACTCTGTCTCTACTTTTAAGAATTAAAAAAGATATAGTCCCTCCCCTCGAGTAAGCAGGTCATTTTAGTACAGTGCAGTAAATACATTAAGTGATTTAATAGGGGCAGATACATAGTGGTGTGGGGGTGGCAAGCTCTCTTCCTTGTTACTTAGCGTGTGTGGCAGGAGGGGAGAGAATTGAAGTGGGTAAATAAGCAACCAGGTAGGAGAAGGTGTTCTTAAGGGAAAACCACAGTCTTGGGACATATAGGAAGGACATCTATGTTTCTGGTGGGTGCCTGTGCTCTGTCAGGATTAGAGTTGCCAAAGGACAACAGCACTAAGTGTAGGCGGGGGTCTCTTCACGTGAGAAGATGAGGTACTCTTAGAATGTGCCTATCCATTTATCCATCCAATGTATACCTACTAAGGCACCTCTGTACACGAGTACTTTGTCAATCTGTCTGTAGTTTGTGCTTCTGGAAGCTCATTACACTACTCATCCGTCACTTAATTAGAAATACCTTCAAAGGGTCTGCCGTTCCTCTATTTCTATCTTGGCATATTCCTGCTGACCACACAGACGTTCTTGTCTATAGCCAGATAGCCTCACAATCACTATTTCAACATTTTGTATATTCATTTTCATTTCTCAATAGTTTTGGAGATCTACTGACAGTGAAATGGTGGAAAACAAAAAGGAAAGTGAATTTCATTTCTCTAAACTGAAGAGAAGGCAAGATTTGGAAAAGAAAAGAAAAATTAGAAAAATAGAATGGATGAGGCAAATGTAAGTTGATGAAATACTTCACTTACTAAAGAAGTATATCGTATTTTAGAGAAAAACAAATTGGGAAAACTTACACTACTCGATTTCAAGACTTAAAAAAGCTACTGTAATCGTGACATTGTGGTATTGTTGAGAAATAAACCCATAAGAATATTGTTAATTAATTTTCAAAAAAGGTGCCAAGGGAATTTAATTAGGAAAAGCAGTCTTTTGGCAAATTAGATAGTCAAATGCAGAAAAATGAACCTTGAGTCTTATCTTACACCATATGTATAATGAACTCAAAAGAGAACATATGTCTAAATATAAGAGCCAAAACCATTAAAGTACCTATGAAGATATATGGTTAGCAAATTAGTACCAGTCAACTAATGACTCACATCATTAGTCATTAGGGAGGTGAAAACTAAAACAATAATGAGATACCACTACATCCCCACTAGAATGGCCGTCATAGTCTGTCATACCAATCGTGGGCAAGGAAAGCACCATTCCATCCCTAGGTATTTACCCAAATGAAATAAAAACATGTCCTCAGAAAGACTGTGTATGAATGTTCATAGCAGCTTTATTGGAAATAGCCAAACACCAGAAACAGCACAAATGTCCATCAGCAGGTGAATGAATGAACAAGTGTTAGCGTGTCTATACAAGGGAGTACTTCTCAGCAATGCAAAGAAACAAACTATTGGTACACATAACATGAGTGAATCTCAAAATAATGATGCTGAACAAAAGAAAACCCCAAAAGAGTACATACTGAATCATTCCATTTACATGGCATTCCAGAACATACAAATAAATCTAGAACATACATACAAATCTAGAGTGACACAAAGCAGAGAAGTAGGTGTCTGAAGATGAGGGAAGGGTACCAAGGGGTACATGGACACTTGGGGGTGATGGGTCTATTCATTTTTTTATTGTAGTGGTGGATCCACAGGTGCATACATATGTCAAGATTGCAAAGTGCACAATTTAAATATGTGCAGCTTACTGTTCATCATTTATCCTCAAGGAGTTGTGGAGTTTTTAAAAGATAATGTGCAGAGACAGTCCAAAGACCCTCATGGCAGTTATGAAGTAGTCCTTCATCTGCGGTGTAAGTTAAGGGCGACCTGGGTTCAAGTGCAAGGGTCACTGGGTTACAGTGCCCACAGTACAACCAAAGGCCCCACCCTGCCAGGTCGTTTGCACTAAGATAAGGGCACCAGTGCGGAAGTGGAACCCTGAGACCTGAGATGAGGACACTTGGGCAGACATAGACAAGGCCAAGAACCCTGAACCTCCAGACTGTCCTATTGGTGGACAGGCATGCTACCCCCTTTGAGGGAAGCAGCCCTTCGCTGCATAAACGCCTTTCAGTGGCTGCTCTGGCACAGTGGCCACACACACTTGTCAGATGCTTCCAAGACTCCCTGCCGCCATTTCTAATTGCCTCCAGCCCACAGTGAGAGTTGTATCTCAGGACAGCCAGACAGAGAGGTCAGGGTCCACTCCAGGAGGAGAGGTCTATAAACCAAAAGAGTTACAGTTACTTACCATCTGATGTTGCCAGAGTCTTGGAAGCATTGTGTGAGGGTGGATTCTAAAGTTGTCAGGTCACACTTACCTGGGATTGTGGATTTAATGTGTTGGCTTGAGTACCCAGAAGTTATGATAATGGTCTGTTAGGTTAGCTGATCAGAGCCTGAGCTTTACCAAAGCTCTCCCATTACAAGTGCCTGAACTTCTCTCTATACAGTACTGTAGAAAAAAAGATTCTAAAGGCCCCGGAGAAATGCATATGTTTGTTCCTATTATTTTCAATTTATTCAACTACCCACTAGCCATGAGCCCTGGAGTACCCAGAGGACACCCTCTTCATCAGACTGTTAAGGAGTGGCTTGGTGAGGGGAACAGCAGAGTTCCTCAAGAACTCTGCAGTGGCTGTTCTCTGTGGGCCGGAGCTGAGACTGGGGAAGCTGTAATGGAACTGGGTCACTGGGAGTAATGGAATGTTGATGTGCTGGAGGTCAGGTGGCTTCCAGACGTGGCTTCTTTACTGGAGTAAATCGACACACCCCTGCACCTGGTGTGCTGCTATCGCCCTGGCAAACGTGTTCTTTCCCATCCCATCACTAAGCAAAAAGAGGAGCAGTTGGTATTTGCATGGAAAGAGGAGCGTGTGGCTTCACATCTTACTCTCCGAACTGTATCAGCTTTGCTGCTCTGTCCCTAGGGGCTTGCAATGAGGACCTTATACTAATTGGATGCGCTGAGCAGAAAATAGCAGCTTCCTGGATGGCTAAGTAGAACAAAGGCACAGGAGGAGGGAGACCAACTTGGCAAACAGTTAAGGATCTGCCCATAACTGAAGCTGAAAGACATTTTGAAATGACTTCTTTTTTCTTCTTCTTTTTCTTTTTTTTTGTCTGAGTCTCACCCTGTTGCCCAGGCTGGGGTGCAGTGGCATGCTCACAGCTACTGCAGCCTCGACCTGCTGGGCCTGTAATCCCAGCACTTTGGGAGTCAGAGGCAAGAGGATTGCCTGACCCCATGGGTTCAAGACCAGCCTGAGCAATTTGGCAAGACCTCATCCCCCCAATAAATAAAAAAAAATTAGCTGGGCATGGTAGCATGCAACTATAATCCAGCACTTTGGGAGGCTGAGGTGAGTGGATTACCTGAGCCTGGGGGTTTGAGACCAGCCTGAGCAACTTGGTGGGAGCTCATCTCTACAATAAAATCACAATAACTAGGAGGACATGGTGGTGTGCATCTATAGTTCCAGCTACTTGAAAGACTGAGGCAGAATAATTGCCAGAGCCCAGCAGGTCAAGGCTGCAGTGACAGTGAGCGTACCACTGCACTCCAGCCTGGGTGACAGAGTGAGACTCTGACTCAATAAATAAGGAAGTAAGTAAATAATAAAGAGATGAGTTTCTATACCTTGCACCATCCACAGCAGTGAGAGACTTCCTTTGATTCGGGAGGTAAATGACTCGTTTGGGCATGTTGCTGCAGCCCGTTTACCAGGTGACCTAATAAGACCACCGGGCTCCAGTGGGACATGGAGCAAGAAAGAGCCGGTAGCAGGTCCGCAATGCACTCAGTTACCCTGCAACCACGGCTTTATGTACTGTCGGATGCAATCCCCAGAGGGTCAGAAACATCTGTGGCTGTGAAATATAACATGGATCCTCTAAAGAGTGCTAACTGGAGACTCACAGCACGGCCCTCCCGGGCATAGGAGTAAGGTGACATGTGCCCCTCTGCCAAAACCAATTCTCCAACTGAAAATCAGTTCTAGCCAGGCTCAGTGGCTCAGCCTGTAATCCCATGCCTTTGGGAGGCTGAGGTGAGTGGATTGCCTGAACCCATGGGTTTGAGACCCGCCTGGGCAGTGAGAGTTCATCTCTACAATAAATCAAAAAATCAGCCGGGCGTGGTAGTGCGCGCCTGTAATTCTGGCTACTTGGAAGGCTGAGGCAGAAGGATCGCTGGAGCCCAGCAGGTTGAGGCTGTGGTGGCCGGGAGCGGCCACTGTACTCCAGTCTGGGCGACAGAGTAAGACTCCAACTCAAAAAATAAAAATAAAAAAAAAGAAAATCAGTTCCAGGCTTTCTATTGGGGCTGGTAGACATTGAATGCTGGATGGCAGGACATCAAATGCTATGTGATCATGAACTGCCCGGGCTTTATTTAATCCACTGAACCATGAAATTGAGAGCGTGTAACATCATTTCAGTATAAAATTGATGTGGTGTATGTGAGAACAGGCCTGAGAAGATCCAGAAGGCCCAAGTAAGCTGCATGCGCAGGTGGCCCAGACTCCTCGCCACCCTTGTGCTCACTGCCTCCGTGCCACCTGCAGGCCTTTAGCTTCACAGGGAGCCTCTCATGGCAGGGTAGCAAGAGGAATACGCTGGGCCTGATTCACCGGAGATCTGTGGCACCATCCCCAAATGGACAGCTAAGAGATAACAGACGCTCAGTCCACAGGGTCAGAGGATGCCCTTCCAGTGGCCACAACTGCAGGGAGCCCATCTGGTTTCCTCATCTTGAGAAAGGGAGATAACCTGAGGTGTGGATCCCACTGACTGCAGACAGTAGCTAATATTTTCCTGGGGGATTAATATTTGGAAAGAATAAAATTGGAAAATCGGTGACTAGGTCATGGGAGATGTATATACTCAGGGTGGATACAAATTATATCCACATCCCACATGCATGTCCTCCAAAGGGCTCGTGTGAGGCAGACAGCACTCAGAAACTGGATGGTGAGCTGATCCGTCCTGTGGATGTCAGCATTTTCCCTGGCCACCTCAGTGGCTACACCATGGAACCATGTACAAAGTGGCCATCGTTGCAGGGACAGAGGTTATATATAGACTCACCAACACGTTCTTCCCCATACCACCATTGTTTTGGCTACAGCACAGCTGAATGTATAGCACAGGCCATTGCTCTGTCTCCAGTAATGAGCTAGGGTAGCATAGGCTAGCTGGTGGCAGGCTGATTATGTTGCATAATAGAGGAGATATCCCTTTGTCCTCACAGCGGTAGACGAATGGTCTGGATATGCATTTTAATTTTGTCTGCATTACCTCTGTTAGCAACACCATTTGTTTCAGAATCTCTTAACATCCATCGTTTTATTTCATACGATATTGCCTCTAACTAGTTTACTCATTTACAGCAAAGGAAGTATGGTTATGGACTCAGAACACCAGAATTCACTTAGCACATGTGCCATCACCTAGGAACAGCTGGCGGTACGATTTGCAGAAGCCACCAGAATGACAACATCTGGTGATAAGCCAATATACATGAAGAGTAGTCTTTTATTTTAGTTCTTCTTTCTTTCCTGTGTTTATTTACCCTCAAAACAATCCTCATCCATAATTGAGCTCTGTTTTTTTTTTTTAGTCAGTCTTACTCCTTCACTTAGGCTGGAGTACGGTGTCACTGCAGCCTCGACCTCCTAGGCTCAGGCAAGTCTTCCTCCAGGGGAGCACCACCATGCCCGGCTAACTTTTTTGATTTTTTAATAGAGATGTTACCCAGGCTGGTCTCAAACTCCTAGGCTCGCGCAGTTCCCCTCCCTGGGTCTCCCAAAGTGCTGGAATTACAGGCATGAGCCACTGTGCCTGGCTTGTATTTTAACTATATAGGTATTTGTATCCCAACCTCAATGAAACAGAATTTCTTATCTTCCTTACCGTAAAAGTTGTTTCTTCTCACTATTCCTCCTGGTCTCAGTTTATGATCCTATCATTTGCCCACTCATCCAAGCCCAAAATGTAGGGGTTACCCTCTACTTCTCCCTGTTTGTAAGCTCCTCCGTGTATTCTGTCATCAGGTTCTATTAATTTTGCTTCCAAAGACTCTCCCCAACCTGACATTTTCTTTCAGTCTCTACCGAGACATCTCATCATTTTCATCTCTACCTCATCTGCCAAGTCCACCTTCTAAGTGGCCTCCCTGCTCCTTGTCTTTCTTGTCTCTGTATAGACACTGAACTGATGTTTCTAAAACACAGATCACTTATTTACCTAAAACATGTTCAGGGCTCCCTGTTACCTACACCCCACATGACATTTCCTCTCCCTACGTTGCTCTTTTCTGGCTCAGCAACATGGCAACATGATCTTCATCCTTTGATACCTGGCCCAAATATCTCCTTCTGAAGTTTCTCTGACCTGCCTGGACACAGTTAGGTGCTTCCCTTTGATGTTCCCATGGAACTTGTCTACACTCATGGTTTTACAGTTATCTGCATGTTTGTCATCTCCGCTAGACTTTGAGTCCCTACAGAACAGGGACTCTGTTCTCCTTATTAGCACAGGACCTCAGGCATAGTTGGTACTTAATGAGTCTGTGTTGTTTGTAGAATGAATGAATGAATGAATTTTTTTTTTTTTTTGAGTTGGAGTCTCACTCTGTCGCCCAGACTGGAGTGCAGTGGCTGCTCCCGGCCACCGCAGCCTTGACCTGCTGGGCTCCGGCGATCCTTCCGCCTCAGCCTTCCGAGTAGCTGGAATTACAGGCATGCGCTACCCCGCCCGGCTGATTTTTTGATTTATTGTAGAGATGAGGTCTCGCTGTACAGGCGGCTCTCAAACCCGCGGGCTCAGGCAATTCACTCACCTCAGCCTCCCAAAGGCGCGGGATTACAGGCTGAGCCACCAAGCCCGGCTGACAAACGTTTTCTATAATGTTCCTTCCCTTTAAATTTCCTAGTTTAGAAAGAATATGAGATCATTTTAAAGTGAGTACACCTAGAAATATATTGCAACAGTACCAATAAAACCAAATTTCATCTTGTTTTTGTTTTCTTTTTTTAAGGATCACTAGTTCATTTAGAAAACAAGTTGTGATTATAAAGTGATTTTTATTTCTGGTTTCTAACTATTTCTACTTTCTATTCTATTCTATTCTAACTATTTCTACTTTCTGACCTGTTATTGTTGTACCACTGTTTAGACCACTTAAATATAATGCTGACTAATTTTAAGAGTTCAAAACCTGAGACTTAGGATGATTTCTATGACTCTCTTGAAAACGAAGTGCCTTTTATACTTTATTGATAAGAGAAAAATATCTGAATTGTTGTATTTCGCTGTTGAAAAGGAAAAAAGAATGCTGTCCTGGTTTCAAAATCTAAAGTGTATATATATGTAGGAAGGTGAAAAATGGAGGATATTGGAAAAAGTGCTTTCACCCCCAGCCTTCCAGAAGGCATGAGCATTAGTTCAATAACTCTGGGCCACTGGGTACCAACATTCATTCATTTACTTAATACATGTTGGTTGAGTGCCTGTTATGTTCTGGGACCAAGTATAGAGTGGAAGATTGCAAGTTCTATGAAGAATTTGACTACTGTATAAACACATAACACTTTGAGTGAAAAACTGCAGAAAATGGAAAGTCATACTTTCTTACAATTTTTGCTCTAACTAAACTATAAACCCAGAGGCATGCTCCTGCTTCTAGAAAACGTATTTGCTCTCGTGGAGCATTTTCCATTGAAATTCTGACCAAGTAGAAGCTTCCTGAGGGCAGGATGCACCTCCTCACTGTCATTGTCGTGTCCCTGCTACCCAATGTTGGGCAAGCCTTCGTTTATTGAATGCTTCCTATGTGCCACTGTTCTAAATGCTTTACATGGATTTACACTTCTAAACCTCTCACCAATGCTAGGAGGAAGTAGTATTTTAAAGGAAGCAGTCACTGAGACCCAGAAAGGCCAGGTTATTTGGCGAGGGTTACATAGCTAGTAAATCACAGAACTGATTCACATCCAGACAGTTTGATACCAGGGTTCTGTTCTACGTCACTGCTATGCTGCTTCCTAATCAATGAGTGTTGAGCTAATCAACGAATACAATTTCAGAATAGGTTGATTTTTAGATGGCTACCAATGTGGGTCTCAAAATGAGTAACACAGGAAATGCTGTGATGTTCTTGGTGAGGATTACTGACTTCTTTCTAACCATTCCCCTTATATTTGGCGGATACGGTGTCTTGTATGCCAGATCAATCTAAGACTGCTGCAGAAGGCGGCTGGACCCGAGAGCTGGCTCTGCATTTCTTTATCCCTCAAATAGAAATAAAAGTAGCTATTCAAATGGCTGTGCCTTTTTTTAAAAGAGATAATTAAACAAGATATGAAAAGTACCTGGTGCCAAGAAGATGTCAATATCTGTCTTCTCTTTACCTCTTCTCTGTTTCCTTTTTCCACTTCCCCTCCCTCTTCCCACCTGCCATTAGCCTCGTGACTTTATAAAAGCTACTCAGCTCCTCCAGGATTTATTTTCTCACCTATAAAATGAATGGCTTAAAGAATAAAAGAGAAAAAAAAAGAAAACAAAAAAATGTGTGAGTTAATTAGATGGTCTCTAAGATATTTTCCCTCTATAAATCTGTGATTCAGTGATCTGATCACTTAGTTTTTCTTTGTATCATTCCAGTCTGGGCGACCGAGTGAGACTCCAACTGAAAAAAAAAAAAAGTAACTTACTGAAAGGCATTTGAGGCCTCTCTGATTAGTGTGGCTGCTTTTTCTCAAAAGATCCCATCACAAAGGGGCACAATGGCTGGTGCCTGTAGTTCCAGCTACTTGGGAGGTTGAGGAGGGAGGATAGCTTGAGGCCAGGAGTTTGAGACCAGCCTGTGCAACATAGCAAGACCACCATCTCTACAAAAAAAAATTAAAAATGAGCTGGGAGTAGTGTTGCATGCCTGTAGTTCCAGCTACTTGGGAGACTAAAGTGGGAGGATCGCTTGAGCCCAGGAGTTCAAGGCTGCGGCGAGCTATGATTGTACCACTGCACTCCAGCCTGGGCAATATAGCAAGACCCTGTCTTTTTTTTTTTTTGAGTTGGAGTCGCACTCTATCGCCCAGGCTGGAGCACGCTCATGGCCAACCCAGTGTCGACCTGCTGGGCTCCGGCAATCCTTCCACCTCAGCCTTCCAAGTTGCTGGATCTACAGGCATGTGCTACCATGCCCAGCTAATTTTTTGATTTACTGTAGAGACACCAAATTGCCCGGGCTGGTCCTGAACCCACAGGCTCAGGCAGTTCACTCACCTGGGCCTCCCAAAGTGCTGGGATGACAGGCTGAGCCACCGAGCTCAGACCAAGACCCTGTCTCTTCAGTTAAAAAAAAAAATTATCCCATAGATCTTCACTTAGATGCAGCTGAGTTGTATAGGATGAAAACCTGATTCTGTGTGAATAGTTTTAATATTCAAATAGCAGCAGAACATATCAATGTCATCTACTTGTCATCCCCTGTTCCAGAGGATTAATGTCCCTCTCCATTTCTCTACTTAGGTACTATGCAGGAAACCTGGAGGCCAAGTCAACGTGTAGGGAAACTCTGGGTTTAATTCACACAGCAACAAAGGGGCTGATAAGAGCCATCGAAGATGGTGGGATCGATTCTGTGATGGAATGGGAGGTGGATGAAGTGCTGAACTGGACAAACACACTGAACTTCGATGAGTAAATACATGTTGCTCTTTTTGGGGAACTAACCAGTGCCTTTATGGTCCCCACAGTCTACTTTCGTGTTCAGTCTTTGCAGTTCTCTAGGTGTTGGTAACTGGCTCTATGACACCATGTTTGATGAGCATTTCAGAGTTGGACATTTTTCAAAGGCTGGGTAGTTTTCTACAGATGGACAATTAGAATGGCAGAAATGCCTTGAAAGCTGATGTTTAGTGATAAAAAAGTTTCTTCCCAAAGGTTTTTGTGCCAGCTCCCTGTTATGACAGGTCGGCGCTCTCCTGGGATAAAGCCATCTGCCTCTTCAGACACGTATCATAACCATCAACTGAGTACATTATCATTTTGAAGAGTAGACAACTTCACTCTTAGACTCCAGGACATAATGAGCACTGTTGTAAATTCCTGTGCCCTGGGATCGGTCGCTGCAGATGTGTAGGCCATAAAACAAACCTCACATCACTGCCACCGAGTTGCCCACAATGCCACAGGAGGGCTCCCATGACCATTGCTGGCATTCATCCTGTCAGACAGTCGGATATTCCTCTTCCAGGATCATATTTTTCAAACAGAAAGTGAATTTTGACATGCTTACTAAGCAGTTAGCATCCAGGAAATAGTAAATAATTTCCCAATATTCTGTTTACCTCAATTAGTGAGAGCCCTATGCCCATGAACGTTATGGGTAGTTTCTATATCTGAAGCTGTTCCTTTGATTTCTAAGACGTAGTGGATTGTGGATTCCACATACTCATTATTATTATCTAAAAAATGCTAAACATCTCTTAGTGAGAAAGATTAGCTCTATGATATAAACAGCATGGTAATGTTGTCATCAGACCTCTGCTTCTATTTGTAAAACTTGGATTTCTCATCAGTTTATGCTGGTTTGTTCTCTATGAGAAGTCCTTTTTAAGTAATGGAATAAATTCATGTCCTAATCTTAGAAAAAGCAGGGACAGTGGTGGGCTTCAAATAGGGCATGTGTTTGTGTCCCTGACTATTAGGGCTTAGAACACTACCAATCAAGCTCCTTTGCCATGCGTTCCTTGAAGGGAATGAAAACCTCTGAGTACAGAAATCCAAGCAAGCAGGGTGAGTGGCGTCCCACTCTTTGTAGTGCCCCTGAGCCACCACGGAAAGCACCGAGTCTGCCTGAATCCACGGTCAAGCCAAACGGACTTGCCTGCCGAGGAGTCCTGCAAGGGGTTGACGCCACCTGCTTCCATCTAGGCTGCCCAGCAGGATCCTACTTAAGGCCATGGCAGAGAGTTCATGGAGCACCACAATGCAGCAGTGGGAGCAAGGAGCCAAATGCAGACACGGCGCCTCATCACGGTTAAATGCTGCTGGGCAGGATGTGCCGTCCCACGGCCAGCAGTTTCAGGAGCACAGGGTTAACGAGTTAAAATAATCCAGGTGGAATCAGTTCTTGGAAAGTTTCGGTGTTTTCTGAGTTACATGGCGATTCTAACCCTCCACACCCTTTCCCTGCCAGCTCCCTTCCGGCACCCACTGTGACCAGCTCCTTACGTGATGTCTTGGTGGGAGGGTGTGCAGTTGCGGAAAAGAGGCTTGGGCAGGTGGGCCACGGAGCTGAAGGCGGGCTGAGTCTAGAAAACCTGCCTCTCGGTGCCTTCGATCATGCTCGCAGCCCGTCCTGCCCGTCCTTCCCGTTTCGCCTTCTCCCGGGCTACCCGCCTCTCCCTCTGGAATGGATGTTTTCTGGACACTGCAGAGACAGCTGTTGCTCTAACAAGATAATGAGCCACAGGCTTTACATTTCCCTGCACATGTCAGATACCATGGGTCTGGCAACTCAGAACCCAGGAGGAAGATTTTGTTGTTTCTCCCTGTCTTTTCCCTCAGAGTTGCCCGTCCATACTTTTAATCTGGAAGTTATTAACTAACATCTCAGTAAACACTCAACTGAGGACGGAATCTTGCAGGAATGAAACAGGATGAAATGCGGAGATGTGCTGGAGGGAGACCAAAGGATGCTGAGATGGTGGGTGGTGGGACCATTTTTGTTCCTCCTTCAGCTCCTTGTCCGGGTTGTCTTAACTGTACGTGAGCTACTAGGAGTGGGAAATTCATGAGAAGTAAACACCGAGACTAGTGAACTTATCATTAGCTAAGATTTCTCAGAAGTGGGTTTTTAGAACTAGTCTAAGCATGTACTAATGAATCAACTTATTACTTACTCATGAATCAATTTAATTTATTTAGGTATATTGCCAGCTGGAAGGAAATCGCTACAAGCAACTCTTCAGGCAACTTCATGGGTAGGCAATTCTTAGCAATGTGTTCTGGGAAGTTCTCGTGAACAGAAATGATACACTCTACACATGTACATATTTCTAAGCTCCTCTCATCTCAGTGTCCTGCACAATACATAGATTTAGAAGAATTTGCCGAGTCGTATTTACCTTTGTATATAAGATTGTTATTTTGGAATAGAGGGAAAATTTCTAAATGACTTAGGGTTGAATAAAATGGCTTTAAAAATATGAATTCTTTTTTAAAAAGTTACCGTTTTTAATAATTAACTTGACCTTGCTCGCAGTCATGGTTTTAGTAATAATTTTTAATGAGCCAGCTTCACTTGGCACAATAAATGCCTCAAAATGTTGAAAGCATTTTTTAGGTTCTGTGCCACGATTGTCCTGCCAGCGGTCAGCAACACTGCAAAGCTGAACATGATACCCAGTGTGTTCGAAAAGCGTGTCATCAGACCCCTGAGAAACCACAGCCAAAGCCGGGTGTTGGTTATTGCGTGATCCATCCTGCTAGCAGATGTGGGAAGCAGTAGAACCGGGAGGTTAGGATTGAGGAGTCTTGATCCATACACTGCCTGGGTTTGATTTGGCTCCACTGTTGCTGGCTGTGTGATGTTGGGCAAGTTACCAGCTGAGTTTTCTTTCTTTCTTTCTTTCTTTTTTATTTGAGCTGGAGTCTCACTCCATCGCCCAGGCTGGAGTGCAGTGGCACACTTACGGCCACTCCAGTGTCAACCTGCTGGGCTCAGCCTTCCAAGTAGCCGGAACTACAGGCACGCACGCCCACGCCCAGCTAATTTTTGACTTATTGTAGAGATGAGGTCTTGCAGAGTTGCCCAGGCTAGCCTCAGGCAATCAGGCAAGACTCAGGCAATCCATTCGGGTCGGCTTCCCAAAGTGCTGGGATGACAGACTGAGCTTCCAAGCCAAGCCAAACTGAGTTTTCTGGTGCGTGGAGTAACAGTAGTGCCTGGCTCACAGGCTGTGAGGTCAAGAACTTGGCAGGGGGGCCAGGGCGCTGTCTGTGCTGTTGGCTGCAGGATCTCCAGCGCATGGTAGGTTCTCAGTGGCAGATCAGAGGACATGAAGGAATGACAGGCACACACGGGGAAAGAGAGAATGTAACTTACTGAGTTGAAGAGATTGCTGTGAAAAGGGAAAGGTACAGGTGGGAGTTGGAAGGAGCTTGAGAGCAAGTGAAAATTATCGCCAGCGGTGGAGACTTCAGTAGTCCCTTAAGCGGGTGACGCACTGAAGATGGCGGCATAGGCGAAGAGAATGTGTGTCGCTTCTTCAGGAAGCAAGAGAAGATCAAATCTCGAGCAGATTGAGAAACTTCAGCTCTAAAAAGAAAAGGCATCTCTTTTTTTATAAATAAAGCACTGGTAGCTCCTAGTTGATCACGGAGCACTGATGAAATGCCAAACACTCTGCTTAAGTTCTTTACCATCACATTTAATTATCCCAAAAGTATGATGAAGCAGGTGCCATTATTATCTACACTTACAAATGGGGGCACCAAGACTGAGGCTAAATCACTTGTCCCAAATTACAGAGATGGTTATCAGTAGGTCAAATCTCAGACTCAGGTCCCGCAGAGACTTTGGTAGACATTGTGGACAATGAGATGTGGGAGTGAGAGCAGGAAGAACGCAGAGGCTCGGGGCATTTACGGTCTGAGTTAAAATCTGCCCCGAGCGCGGCGACGGGAATGTGGACCAGGCCTTGCCTGGCAGGTAGCAGCATTTGGAGGAGTCTGTGTCTGGTACATCGGGCACCTTTCTAATCCTTTGCTGTTTCTCTTTAGGATTCAGGTTTGAGCACGCACAGAAAGGGATCTATGACTATGGAGCTATATCATGCATGCCAGTGAGAACACCAGAGGATACTGTCTATGAAAATTTCATTCAAAATCCAAATTTCACTAGATTAACGCCTGATTCCACTTATGGAATATAACGTACCTTCTTCTCCTTTCTGGGCTATGGCTCTTTGACTCCCGCGCCCACCAGTCATAGCCAAGAGATAATGTATTCTGATGGGAATGACTTGTATATATATTCTACGCACAGAATCTGGAAATAGAACACGGAACTGTATACAATGGTCACGGAAGATACAGAAATTATTCCTGGAATTCTGAGAAACTGTAGTATTCTAACAGTCACGCTTGAATAAAGATGCTCTATTTAGATGTAAAAGATTTCAGGTTGGTATCTTCCGTCTATGTCTGAGGCATGTAGATCGTTCGTGTCAGATGGCTTTGTCCCTTTGCCCATGTCCAGTGCGCCTCCCCCGCCCCCGTGCCCCTTCCCCTTCCTTTCTCCTGAAGCTGCTTGGCGATGCGTCCTCATTGCCCTTGCCTTTCTGTTTCTCTGCAAGTCGCTCTTGCTCACAGCCTGGCTGACGCAGCTCTCTCCTCCTCTCTTTCAGATTTGTCTTTCTTCGTTTGCCTTTGCTTTGATCAGTGTTGCCCTTTCCCTTTTTCCCTTGTCCTGTCTAGATTCTTCCCTCGTTTAGGAGGCATGGCTTCCTGGAGAATGTTATGTAAGCCGTGCAATTCCCTGGGGTCATACAGTTGAGCTGCTTTATAATTTTAATGTCTCTCCTCTGTACGATACAAACCCACAAAACCTTAGCTGGAGCCCTAACCTGTTATTCTGGGCCAGAGCGTGCATGCTCAGGGTGCCCGAAACTCTGCAGGCCACCCTTACTGGCCTGCATCTTCCTCTGCTGTGGCTGAGACTCCGGTTCCCTGTCCGCCTTGTGAAGCTTCGTACTGAGTAGGATCTCTCCTCCAGCTGAGTCGGCCAGGACAGTCCTACCTTCTGCTAGCTCACGTGCTAATATCACCCCCGGAATACCTCCCGAGTCCATTTAGCTCATCTGTACTCCACAAACACCAACAGTGCCCACCGTCCTTTGCCTTCTAACCGACCTCTGACTCAGGTCTGCTTTTCCACACCACAGCCCAAGTGACCTTTCTACCCACAAACAGGAGTATCGGCTTCCCCACTGAAAGCACTTCAGGGCCACCTCGGGCGAAGGCCAGACTTTGCGACGGTGCCCGTGTCCTTCACGATCTTGCCCCCTTCACCTCTCAAGACTCATCTTTCTCCACTGCCCGCCTCCATGCCATCCTCCACCCCCTTTGCACCCTAAAAGCAAGCCACACTGAGTCTGCGAGCGCCTGCCCTGTGTGAAACGCTCCTCGTCTGCGCCCACCCTCTCACCTCTCTAGTCAACTCCCCGTCCTGATCTAGGCTCACTCAGCACTTCCTCCACCACCACTTCTCCAGCAGTTGTGAGAACACTTATCCCTCAGGATCTCTGGGGCATTTGCTCCAGGACCTCCATGGATGCCAAAACTGGCAGATGCTCAATTCCCTGATGTCACCCGGGCACCACCTGCCAAATGGCTCAAATCATCTCTGGGTTACTCCAAATACCCAATGCAATGCACATGCTATGTAAATAGCTGTTATGCTGTATTATTTTAGATTTGTGTTCTTTTATTGTACTGTTTTTTATTTTTCAATTATATCCAATTTGTGGTTGGTTGAATCTGCAGATGGGAACCCTTGAATACCAAGGGCCATATTTGTTTGGCTAGAATTAATTTTAAATACCCGAGGAGGCCAAGTGCAGTGGCTCAACCCTGAAATTCCAGCACTTTTGGGAGCCGAGGAGAGAGGATTGCCTGAGCCCAGGGGTTTGAGACCAGCCTGGGCAACACGGCAAGACCTTGTCTCTACAATAAAAAAGTAAAAAATAAAAAAATTAGCGGGGCATGGTAGCACACGCCTGTAGTTCCGGCTACTTGGAAGGCTGAGGCAGAAGGATTGCCGGAGCCCGGCAGGTCAATGCTGGGGTGACCATGAGCGTGCCACTGCACTCCAGCCTGGGCGACGGAGTGAGACTCCAGCTCAAAAAAAAAAAAAACAATCCGAGTAATAGTGGTTTAATTAAAGAGGGCTGTTTTCCTCGAATAGGCTATTCCACAAGCAGAATTCGCTCAGCTATTTAACAACGCCATCAAGTAGCAAGGCTCTTAACCGACTACAAAATGTGGTTTGTTTCTGTGCTTGCTGCCTCAGGGCTGCAAGATGCCTGTCAAAACTCCAGACATCATGTCCATGGCAGATAGCAAAAAGGGCGCATGGCAAGTTTTCCTTTGTCAGAAAAGCAAAAGCCTGATTAGAAGCCCCAGCTCTGGTGGCTCAGCCTGGAATCCCAGCACTTTGGGAGGCCTAGGCGAGAGGATTGCCTGAGCCCGTGGGTTCGAGTCCCGCCCGGGCAACTTGGCGAGACCTCATCTCTACAAGAAATCAAAAACAAAAAATTAGCCGGGCGTGGTAGTACGCGCCTGTAGTTCCAGCTACTCGGAGGGCTGAGGCGGAAGGATCGCCAGAGCCCAGCAGGTCGAGGCTGCGATGGCCGGGAGCGGCCACTGCACTCCAATCTGGGTGACAGAGTGAGACTCCAACTAAACAAAACAAAACAAAACATTTCCATGACCCACAAATTGTACATCTTTGCAGTCAGTTCACTCACCCCACCTTATGCCCCTGACAACCACTGATGTCTCAGCAACTAAAATTCTGCCTTTTCTAGAATGTCATATAAGTGAAATCATACAACGTGCAGACTTTTTTGTCTGGCTTTTTTCAGTTAGCATCATGCTTTGGAGATTCAATCCCTGCTGTTTGTATCTGTGGCTCATTCCTTTTTTAATGAGGGTGTTTTGTATCACAGTGTGTTTATGCATTCACCAGCTGATGGGCATTTGGTGGTTTCCAGGTTGGGCCCATTATGAATAAATCTGCCATGAACATCCACGCCCAAGTCTTTATGGGGACACATCTTCGCTTCTCTTGGGAAATACCGGGGAGTGAGATTGCTGGCACAAACAGTAAGTCTATGCTGGCCTGTTTTGTGAGAATGGTTCCTAAAGTGGTGGTTCCATTTCACGCTTCCACCAGCAGTGACCGAGTTGCAGTTGCTCCACTTAGTATTGTCCGGTGTTTAAATTTCAGCTATTCTTTTTTTTTCCCCCAGTGACTTCATTTTTACTCTTTCACATTTTCAGCAAACAAATCAAGGTGCAAAGAAGGTTTATTTCACATTGATATATTAATGGGATTTTTTGGGTCAAATAAATAGGGAATTTTCTTTAAAGAACCATCTCCTCACGTCACAGCCAGTCCAGGAGCAAACAAGAGCCAATTTTAGTGCATCCAGGGGGCATGAAGCTTAACGGGAGAGGAAGGCTGAAGGGCTGGCACAGTCACTTCGGCACGCAGGGCCACGGGCCCCCGTTCCCAGTCCACCCAGCAGCCCCGAACGGCAGCGATGGGACGGACGTGTATTCTCCAGTTCCAGTCGAGAAGCCTCTTCTAGAAGGAAGGCAGAGGAGAGGGAAAGCAAACTCCAGCAACTTGCAGGGAAGCACAGGGGCTTCCTCCCCAGACACAGTGGCCTTGCCCTGATGTCACCCAGCCTGGGGGCTCATGTTAAAGCCCCCAAAGTCACACAAGGGGGCAACAGCATGACCCAGCGCAGGGAGGGCGAGCATGGCTGGGACTGGAACCTGGCTGAGTGGAACGTGGGCTGACAGCTTGCAGGACAGTGGCTTCCCACCGCTAGGCACCGACCAAAAGAGGGAACGTGAACAGGCCGGGCAGGGGCCCAGCGGGCAGACTCCCGGCGGTTCTAACGGATGTGAACAGTGAGTGGCAACTTTTTGTGATTTGAGTTTGCATTTCCAAATGACTGGGGATTTGTCATGTGCTTGCCCACTGAATGCCTTTTTTGCAAAAGTGCCTTTTTTGCGAATCTTTGAACAATCTTTAATTAGGTTGTATATCACCTATATTGTGTTGAAATACTTAAAAAATATGTTCTAAAAACAGTCTTTTTTTTTTTTAACCAGTTTGGAATTTGCATTTTCATCTTCTTAACAATGTCTTTTGATGAGAAATAGATTTTAATAATGTCCAAGGCACCATTTTTTTTTTCTTTTATGGTTCACGCTTTGACTGCCAAGGTCCTAAAGGAGTTCTACAAATGTTGTCATTTTAGCTCTCACATTTAAATATATGATCTGTCTCAGGTTGATCATTGCAGTGAAGGAAGGTTTGAGATTAGTCTTTTTTTGCATATGGATATGCACCATTTATTGGAAAGACCATCCTTTCCCTGTTAGATGACATCGGACTCTTTGCTGAGAATCAATTAGTAATTGTGTACTAATTGAACTGAACTCCGTCCTGCTCCGTTGATCTGATGTCTGTCTTTATGGAATACCAGCTTGTAATTATTATTGTGGCTCTAGTAAGACTTCAAGCCTTGTTTTTCCTTTTAAAAACTGTTTTGAAGCCGGGCTCGGTGGTTCAGTCTATAATCCCGCGCTTTGGGAGGCTGAGGTGAGTGGATTGTCTGAGCCCGCGGGTTTGAGACCCGCCTAGGCAACTTGGTAAGCCCTCATCACTACAATAAATCAAAAAAATTTGCCAGGCATGGGAGCACGCACCTGTAGTTCCAGCTCTTTGGAAGGCTGAGGCAGAAGGATTGCCGGAGCCCAGCAGCCCAGTGGCCACAGCACTCCAGTCTGGGTGACAGTGAGACTCCAACTGAAAACAAAAACGAAAACAAATAACAACAAAAACTGTTTTGGCTATTCTAGTTCCCTTACATTTTCCTACAAATTTTACAGTCACTCTTTCCATTTCTACAAAGACATAAAACCTAGTGGGATTTTGACTAGGATTGCACCCACTTTATGTATCCCTTCGGGGAGAATTTCAATCTTAACAATATTGAGTCTCCCAATCCACCGACATAGTACATCTCTGTATATTTAGGCCTTTGGTTTCTCCGCAATGCTTTGTAAATTTCAGTGCACTTTTTTTTTTTTTTGAGTTGGCATCTCACTGTGTCGCCCAGACTAAGTGCAGTGGCCGCTTCC